TTTCGAAATGTAACAAAATTGTGACGCTGTTTAAAATGATTTATATGCCTTATAAAGCACAAATAGTTATTGAAATATATCAGCATCAGTTAAATTAAGTTTTGAAGAAATGTGCTAAGTTGAAGTAAGTTAGCAAAAGTAAAGTCGGTTGTTTTTAGCGAGAAATATGGCATACATGGTTAAGAAAGGTCTAGTAAGTTATATGAAGTGGTTATAAAATATTGTACTGATGGTAAATAAAACTGGTGAAGTGAAATAGGTTTGGTGAAAGATTAAAAAGCAAGGACTAAGTGGGTTAGTGTAACTAGTCGTAACTAATACTAAGGCGAGTACCAGTGAATTTTCCCCAGAATATAGGACATGAAAACTTGTTTGTAAAACATTTTTTGGTGTAAATGCAGTTTCGTGCCTTTTATAGGGGTTAAAGGTTAATTTATAGATTTGGTGTGTGTCGTAAGAGGATACATCTTTGATAACGACGGGAATGTCGGTAACGCCGATAAGGACTAAAGAAAATATATTATAACGATAAGGGTAGAAGGAAGATTCGAAATTAGAGAAATTTCCATATGTCGAAGAAATTCAAAGTTGGACCGGGTATGAAAAGCATAAAGTTGAATATTGTTCAAGAAACATGTTAGTAATTTAGAAGTGTAAGATGATGGTATACTTGAGATGATCACTAGTGCATCTCGGGGCCACAAACTAAGACTTGTACAACTTTTATCATAAGGGGGATGGTTTGTGATTGAATACAAAGTAAAGATGGTAGGGTAAGAATCACCAAAGATAAGGTTTAGAGTCAAATATGGAAACAACTGATAACTAAAATCGTAGCGTAGAAGAGAAGTCTCACGTATCAATAGCAATGGGTTGAACTTTCGTGCCTCCTGATGAGTCATATAAGGGATGCTCGCCAATGGTATGCAAGTGATTACTTATGGTGACTCATATACCTCCTAACTGTAGTGTGTTTGAATCGAATATTAAGAACAAAATCATAAATGGAAACGATAAGAACACAATCGTAAATAAGCTCTATTTGGCTCGTTGATTCGTCTGAACAAGTTTACAAGTACACGAGAGAGAAAAGAACGAAGTGCTCAAGAGCCACTCTCTACTTCTATATTAACCCTATTTATAGGGTGATACAGACGCACAAAAAATACTTATAATCTTTATCACATTGATGATGTCATTCAAGTTCATTAGAGGGAAATCAAGAATTGAGAAGTCACATACTACATTATTCGCTCCGACAATAAAATAGCAAAAATTCTGCAGTAAACCTTCGAACAGACTCTCTCTTGAAATATTCATCACATTGACAATCTTTACTGAAGACAAAACATCCTCTTCTTTCTTCCCCAAGACTGCATGGAATCTCATCTTCCGTCTCTTATACTCTTCTTTGTCATTAAACTGATCCGCCAACTTATATTGTGCAGACACAAACATCATATGGTTTATCGGAAAATCCAGTTGATTAAAGTCAGAGTTTTCAATATTATAACTCTTCTTTGGAATTTTTCCAAAATCATGCATCTTCCCCAACAAAACGACTTGTTCTATTGTTTCATAACAGCAATGTTTATTAGGATCACCATTTTTTAAACATGGTGGATTACTTTGTCGTGGTCTTAAAATGATATTTATTTGGCGTTGCCTTTCAATTTCCATCCCCAAATTTCTCTTCTTATCTTCTTCAGAAGGAGTAATCTCAATGCCTTTCCCTTTGTCTCCCTTATCATCTTTTGAAGGAGGTGGTTTTGAACTTGAACTTGAGCCTACAGCACTTTCTCCAATAAGAATCCCTTTTGTTATTGGTCTCGATGTTGTAGTTGTAGAAGTAGTTATAGCGAAACAGGAAGTGATGTAGGAATTTAAGTCGACATCACCTTCCCTACAACTGCACCCTTATCTGCATCTTTCGAAGGTCCAACACCTTTTTCTCCCCCTTGCACCACATGCTTCGCATGTGGGGCATTTGTTGGCAATAGAAGCACCAACTTAGGAGTACAATCAAGCTCTTCCTTGATGTGCGATTCAATAGACGAGATCATCTTCGAGATAGATTCCTGAGACACTGAAGTTTGTTGAGAAAGATCAAGCTTTGAAAGAGATTCCTTTAAACTGCTCATAAATTTCTCCAGCTTTTCAAACACTTTAAAATCTTGTTCTGTTTTTGCATCAAGCTTGGTTGAGTACGAAGTGTTATACTCCACATGTAACACCCCGGTTTTCAGTTATTTCAAAATCATCCCTTGGTTTTAAATTATAAGTCAATTTGATCCCTAAGTCTAAGAATTATGCCTTGAAGCCCTAGTGGCATTTTGGTAATATGAGCTAGAGGAGTATGCTAAGCGTATATGCATGTAAGTTGAGCGTACTAGGGCACGCCCTAGTATGCTGGGCGTACACTCACGTACGCTGGGAGTACTCATGTTAGGAGGAAACCCTAAATTTTAAGGTTTGAAGGGTATTTAAGCATCATATTGGCTCATTTCCTTTCCACCTTTCAGCCTCCACTCCCTTGGGATGTTTTTGCAAACCCTAATCTTTGAGTGTGCATTTTGGAGCTCAAGTGTGTTGTTTTTGGTGTGTTCTTTGTGTGTTAGAGGAAGAAGAAGATTCTTGGAGAAGCCTTGGTGAAGGAGCAACTTGTGGATCTGGGATTCTTACCTTCTTGAGAAGCTCCAGACGGTATAAAGCTTCCATCTTGCCTTGGTTTCTTTTAGATATTTCCATGAGGAAATTATGTGTTCTTAGTCCCCTTTCTTGGTGTTAATGAGTATGTTCTACTCTAAGACCAAATGATCCGTCCTTTTGGAAGAAATGAGGTGCAATAAGTAATAAAAATGCTATCTTGGCTCTTTTGGTGCATGAATGAGGTCTTTAGTGGTTAAGACAAGCTTGAATCTTGATGTTGGCCCTTATTAAGACATGCTTGACCATAAAGTTGGAAACTTTATGGTTTGGAACATATCTTTGGACCTAGATCTGAAAGTTGGATGTTGGACTGAATGGAATAAGTTCTTAATCAAGTTTTGCATGGCCACCACGTACGCTGGGCGTACTAAGGCGTACGCTGGGCGTAGGTGGTCAATGGCACGATTCCGGTCAGTGCAGAGTACGTTGAGCGTACAGCTCCGCGTACTTAGCCTGTTGGGTTTTCAAGTTTGGGCTTCAAGATTTGGGCCACCTTTTGGGCTTGGATGCTTAGGCCCTTATTGGCCCGTCTGATTATGAGTATTTTGGGCCAAGTTAAGTGTCGGACCTTGGAGTAAGGCCCAAATAGGAGTTGGGCCCAATTTGGAAAATTAGGCCAATTATGGGCCCTGAGTGATTATTATTGTTGGGCCTTTTTGGATCAAGATTTGGGCTTGGGTCTTAGTCCATCTAGGGAAAGGGTGAAGTGGCCATTTTTCCTAAGTGTGGATTATTAGTCAAGGATCGTAATCCAATTATTAACTGGATGATTATTTTGTTGTGTTAGTGTGGGGATTTTAGCGAGCTAGCAGCCGGAGGCTTTCAAAGTGATTCAGCAGTGTGAGGTAAGTTTTCCTCACTGTATTTGCGGGTTGAAGGCACCAGTGCCGACCCTTGGATTGATATTTTGTTATGCATGTTTTTGTACTGTAAAGATCTGTTAGATTGACATCCTGGTAGATAGGATGATGTTATGCTATAGTGATCTGTTAGATTGGTATCCTGGTAGACAGGATGATGCTATGCTTAGTGATCTGTTAGATCTGTTTATTTGTTTGCCGGCTGGTTAATAGTATGCTTATCTATATTATGTGCACATGTTTGGTCGGTGGTTGAGGCTTCACTGCTTTGTGTGTAAGCCAACAGACCGGGGCATTCCAACCCGATGGTTAAGGGCCTAGGGTATTCCATCCCGAGGATGATTGGACCCATAGTATGTTGGCATTCCAACCTGATGGTTGAGGGGCATGGGGTATTCCAACCCGATGGTTAATTGGACCCATAGTATGTGGGCATTCCAATCCGATCGTTGAGGGGCCTGGGGTATTCCATCCCGATGGTTGATTGGACCCATAGTATGTTGTTATTGTATATGTGTTAGTTTTTGTGTTGGTACTTTGGAAGGCAAAGGCTTGATTGTGCACCTCCTCATGCTGTGTTTTGTGATTTTGGAAAAAACTCTGATGTTAAACTTGTTTTGAAAACTAAAATGTAAAAAATTATGAATTTTGGTTGGGTGGAAAAGTTAATATTTTTATGTAATTTTATGGATGTTACACCACAAGTTTCGTTATGGCATCAGCAAGAACATCTACTTTTCCATGAAGAGTTGAATAATTTTTCTCTATCTTTTCCACTTCTTTCGACATTTCACACTTAAGCGCTGCCACCTTGAGATTAATCGAATCTTCCAACTTCTTAACTTTCTCAAAAACAATTTCATGACATTCTTTAGCAACATCACGAAGTTTTGTAACCTCATATTCAAAGTTTTGATCATGATTCTCTAAATGTTCATCATGTTGTTGCTCAATTTTATCCATTACAAGCTTAAGGCGATTCTCTTGAGACTTAAGCATAAATTCCACTTCAACCCTAGAAACACCCTTTCGTCCTCCTGTATTAGCTTGGATTTGTAACAAAGATTTAATTTTGTTGTTAAGAATCTTAAACTGTTTTCTTTACATGATCATATTATCAGGAATATTCTCTTCTTCGGAATCGAACTATATTTCTGCAACAGAAACCATGACTTCATCATCATCAGGTTCATCTTCTTGAACTATCTTTTCTCCCTTTTGGATTGCGAAGAGAAAAGGGTTATGATTGGTTGATGCATGATGTTATAGAATGTTGGTGAAATAGTAAAAGAATGAAGTGAAGATGGTATTGGAGAAGAGAAGGGTGGTAACGAAGTGGAAGTATCAATGCGTATGGTTTCGATGGTAGAAGAGAGAATAAGTAAGGTATAAACAGTACAGGTTTGAATAGAAGAAGTACCAAGGGCTTCATTATGAGGTTCGAACCTCCTCCGTAAGAGACTCAGTTCGCGAAACCTCAGGTGGTATGACAATTTCCTTCGCAGGGATGGAAGTAGATGGAGATTCACACAAATTGGTGGTTGTATCCATATTAGATACGTGTACATGGCCACCAAGACTTCCAGTGTACTCGAAAATCGACTTAACTGGAGAGTCCCTTTGAGGTGTCTCAAAGCCAAATCCAATATCATCATGACGAATAGCTGAACTTTCGCTTCCACTGCCAAGATCAGTTTCAACAATGACTTCGTCAAGTGGATCTGCCAGTTGTCTCTTCTTCTTCTTGATCTTTTTGACCATTTCGTGAGCTTTGTGTTTCTTCAAGGCAGGTGACATTGGAATAGGAACACCACGAATATGCAAAACCCTTCTGTTATGTTGAGATTTGCGTATTTTCTTTATCCCTTTCGTTGTAGAAACTTCTTCAGGTGAAGAAATGGACTCAACTGGAACTTTTTCAATTATTGGTCTTTCAGGAGAATGACGAGGTCGATGAGCAGGCTGCTTTGTTCTTTTGAGAATGCATGTCTTCGAAGGAACAACCTCCTTAGAAACTTATTTTTCAACACTCTCTTGAACAAGTTTTGTAACCTCCTTCTCCACTTGCTCAGTAACAAGTTTTGGTTGTTTAGTCTTCTTCGATTTCTTAGAAGATTTAGCACCCTTCGATGTACCTTCAGACCCCTTTGGCAAAAGAACCCCAACTGTAACATTTGGGTTAACAGATGTCAAATACTGAACCAAAATCGGATTTGCTGGATCAATTATTGATAACATTGCATCAGGAATATGAGCCACACATGGAAAGAGAACTGGATCATCAATAACCAGTTTAGGAGTATGCAATGTCGAGAACTTCGCCTTTTCATCCTCCGATGGAACCAAAATCCGATCTTTCTCATAAACATCCCTTAGAATTAAGTTCCAGTATCTTGCACAAGATACTGCATTCGTTACATTTGTGTGAGAAATTCCTGTACCAAATTCTTCCCATAACTGAGTCACATAGTCAACATTTAGGTCATAGTAAAGACCTGCGGTCATTGCATACACCTCCAACGTAAACTTATCTGTAACACCCCGTTTAGTAGATAAATAAAGAGATAAAATATTTACAAAAGAATAGTAGCCCTGAAATCCATAATATTTAGTGGGGTGTTGGTTTTCAAGAGTCAAATGTTATAAATTGGATTATTCGGGGGTTAAAGTGTAATCTCGGGATTTATTTTGTAAAGATTTTTAGAAGACAGGGTGTGTTTGGTAAGTATTGGACTTATCATGAAAGGATTTTGAAAAGTGAGGGTTGTTTATTAAAGTATGGGTTAATTTGAAAGGATTTTTGAAGACAGGGGCTGAATGGTAACTTATGGATCTGTTTTGAAAAGTTTATGTGTAGGAGGGATTGAAACTGTCAAACCCGCATGAAGTTTGAATGAACACGGGATTTGAATCCGGTGATTTATCCTTCCCGTCTTAAGGTCATCACCCCCAAACCCTAACCCTAGATACCAACCTTATGACCCCTCCAGCCGGCGCCGGCACACCTCCGTCGTCGAAGTTGTGAGCCACCGACGATGTCACCTCGATGATTGCCGATGAAACCGAGACATGCTGAAGACCGACGTCTGTGCAGTGTTGTTTTCGATCTCGGACGTTCCTCTTCCTCCTTCTTTTTCTGTTTCACCATCAGCCACGTTGCCGGTATCGCTAGGACGTTGGCGCCGCCATGGTCGTGGTGGAGTTCTGCCGCCAATTGTCGTCACTATGTCGTCGCCTTACTTCAGGAATGAAATACATCATCTTGGTAAGTGTTTATGCCCATGTGTGTGTACATTTCAGTGTAACAAAGCGGGTGTTGCTGGCCAGAACGATAGCAGACCACCATGGCAGCCAACCATGGTGGCTGCCGCCACTTCTACGTCTACTGCCGCTTTCTGCCATCGCTTCACCACCACCAGGCGCCGTATGATGGTGGATGTGTGTGTATGTGTGAGTGTAGTAAGGTGTGTGTTGTTTTTCGGGCTGTTTTGATGAAGTTTGAGTCAATATGTTAAGCCACCGCCATTGGAAATGGTGGCCGCCGCCGCCGATCACCACCGCCCGGGGTAGCAGTGGGTAGTGCCCGGCCTAGTGGAACCCTAATTGGCCCAATTGCTTAATCTTGGACTTATTTGGTTTGTGTTTGGATTAGAAACCCTAATTAGGGTTTAGAAAACCCTAATTTTAGGAAATGTTAGTTTTGGACTCTCGGGACCCGCGTTTGGACCAGTGGACTGAAGTTATGGCTTATGCCGATTCCATTGTATGTTGGCCTAGTGGAGTAATGGACTTAATGGGTTAAGTGAGAATACTTAACCGTAATCGTCATTTCATGTGAGAAACCCTAATTTTGGTTGGGCCTTGAGTTGGGCCTTTCTGTTGGGTTTTAGTGATTGGGCTCTTGATGGGCCAGTCAAGAACAAATATATGGACTAGAATAATTGGATTGGGCTTTAGGATAAGGCCCATTGGAAAGGCTTGGGCCCAATTTGGAAAATTGGGCCATAGATGGGCCATAACTGAGCCTTGATCATTATGAGATATTAGACTGTGACATCCCCATTTTCGCGGCCAGAAAAGACCGATTTTGTTTATGCTTTATAGAAATCAGAGTACTTCTTTTATTAAAAATGTTGCAGAATTTGTTCCCAGAAAAACATGATAAATACGTTTCAAAGCATTTCCGAAGAAATGTATTTTTATTCATTTTAAAACATTTGGGATGTCATCGTCAATACAGAAACATAAGCATAAACAGAACTTACATTCATTCACACTAGTGATCTACATCTCTTTAATCTCTCAGTGTAATGTAACTTCGTTTCGACACCTGTGATACAAATAAACTGAGTGGGTCAGGTTGGGAAACCTGGTGAGTACATAGGGTTTTCAACCCACAATAATATAATTATTATGTTTAAACATCAAACAATCAACCCAATTACCCATCCCCATTATCTTCCTCACTCACAAGGATCTACCCTAAGAGTCATCTATTCGTTCATTCCGAAGTCCCTTGCTTCCAGGGTTATAAGACAGGCACTAAGTCCACAGCTGTCAATGCTCATTCGTAAAGCACTAAATCCATAGCTGCTAAAATTCATTCATCGGGTACTAAATCCATAGCTACCAGTGTTCATCTAATAGGTACTAAGTCCATAGCTACCCACGTTTATCTATCAGGTACTAAGTCCATAGCTACCAACGTTTATCTATCAGGTACTAAGTCAATAGCTACCAACGTTTATTCAATAGGCACTAAGTCTATAGGTGCCAATGTTCACTCACATCATCTTTCATCCCTCATCATTCATCTACCCATGTTTCACCCAACATATTTGTAGATATAAAATACATATACAGTTTAAATCATATAAAACTTGTATAAAATCGTTCATCCAGCATAGATACTACGTATACAGATAATATGCACACATAGCACGTAGTTTATATAAAATACTTCATATCTATGTGTAAGATGAAAGGGACTATGCACTCACCTGATTAGGTGGTGACTCGGTACTCGAACAACACTTCGTTATCTCAAAACAATTTTTCCTTGACCAAAACCTAGTATCAATACCACTAGAGTTTACTTTTAACGTTAACCACGACTAATTAATAGTCTAGCTATTATTATTATTATATAAGCGTTAAATAACACTCAATATAACTCATAATAATAGTCCAAATAATTATTTTAAGGACCTAATAACATTACTATAATTATTTAAAAGCTATATTAAAAATTGCGTAGGCGTAGCTCACTTACAGCGGATTTTCTTAAAAACCGGGCTTTGCTCGGAGCAGCGTTTCCGAATCGAAAGACCCTTTTTCTCCGGACTCTGGGAGCCTCGGGGTTTCCTTCGGGTGCTAGGGGGTTTACCTAGGCTTAGGAGGGGTTAGGGGGGGTAGTGAGAGAAAGTAGAGAGAGAAAGTAGAAGTGAATTGGTGAGAAAAATGGCTGGCCCTCGCAGCCCTTTTATAGGCCGGAGGCTGCTGGCTACGCGCTGCGCTCCTTGGTTCTACGCGAGGCGTTCCTCGGACGCAGGGCGTTCGTTCGTTACACTCAGCGTTCGTATGAAGACGTGTCCGAGGCCTGTAGGTGCGACGTGGTCCATCCGAGTCCAAGCGATTCTGAACGCGAGGCGTTCGCTGTACGCGCTGCGTAGCGAGGCCAGGTGTCTCCATCCGAAGCGAGGCCTGTGAACAGCAAGGGACGGTTGGGATCGCGCCACGACATGAATCTAGCAACAGCTTTGCAATTTTCCTTTCCGACTTCTAAAAATCATAACTTTCGCATACGAGCTCCGTTTTCGACGCTATTTATATTCACGCGTAGGCGGGAACGTACTCTACTGATGGGTTTTGAGCATTCTAACACTTCCTAAGTGTACATGCAACCCTAATAACCTTGGATCTATGTTTGTCTAATAATCATGCAAAGTTGAATTCCAAGGTTATATTCCTATCTAGCATACATGGGGAACATTTTTAACTTGAATGAAAGATAGAATAACTTACCTTGTTGTTGATTATGATCCTTGAAACCTTGTGAGCCTAGCACCCCAAGTGTGATGCCTCAAATGCTTCACACAACACCAAATGCAAAGGAGTAAACTTTGAGAGAATCTTACACTTGCAAAATCGGCTCTAGCCCTCTTGTTTCTTATGTGTTGCCAATTTTGGTGGAGAATGGGTTTCTTATATAGTGTTGACACATCTAGGGTTACACCATGTAAACCCTAATGTGTCATGACTCTTCATTTCCATGACCCATGGGTTTTGTAACTCCCATGGAGTATCCATGGAGCATCCTATGGGTGGAACCCAACTTGATAATCCATGGAGCCTCTTAGCCCACTATATAAGATATGGAAGATTTACATAATCTACCCATATATTTAATTAGTTATCTTTTGATCACTTAATTAATTCTAAATTAATTCTTGATCAAACTAATTAAATAATATTATTAATATATTAGAACTTATAATATATTAATAAACCATAAGTGTTATTTCTCTCATTTTAGTTTATCCAATTGCATGGTGCCATGCAACCCAAATGGACCATGTCGGGTCGGGTCAAGTACATACCAGAAATAGTTATGGACTTAGACACCTTATCCAACATCTACAACTTTCGTTTAGACTCCGTCGGCTAATTTTGACTTTATTTTAAAAGTTATATTTTTAACAGGCCGGGACAGGATTGGTCCGTTAAAAATTCATAACTCCTTCATCCGACGTCCATTTTCG